TTTTTACATAAACATGGGCTTCTGGGCTACATCCTTAAGTGAAACATTTCTCCATATAATAAAGACCCTCCACCCTAAAACATAGATAATTTGGGAGGTTGACAGAAATGATGTATGGGTTTAGTGGTCTCTTAATAATCTATGTTAAGTTTTCTGTTCTTACTATCCATTATTTTGATGTATTAGTACCCATTTAAAAAAAATTGAATGTTTGCCTTTTTTAAATATATAGAGGGCAGTCTAGAAATAAAGTTGTATTATTATTATTATTGCTGGAAAAAACATTAACAGCCTCAGATATGCAGATGACACCACTCTGATGGCCGAAAGCGAGGAGGAGCTGAGGAGCCTTCTAATCAAGGTGAAAGAAGAAAGCGCAAAAGCTGGGTTGCAGCTAAACATTAAAAAACCAAGATTATGGCAACAAGAATGATTGACAACTGGAAAATAGAGGGAGAAAATGTGGAGGCCGTGACAGACTTTGTATTTCTAGGTGCAAAGATTACTGCAGATGCAGACTGTGGCCAGGAAATCAGAAGACACTTACTTCTTGGGAGGAGAGCAATGTCCAGTCTCGATAAAATAGTGAAGAGTAGAGACATCAGACTGGCAACAAAGATCCGCCTAGTCAAAGCCATGGTATTCCCTGGAGTAACCTACGGATGTGAGAGCTGGACCTTAGGGAAGGCTGAGCGAAGGAAGATCGATGCTTTTGAGCTGTGGTGTTGGAGGAAAGTTCTGAGAGTGCCTTGGACTGCGAGAAGATCCAACCAGTCCATCCTCCAGGAAATAAAGCCCGACTGCTCACTGGAGGGAAGGATACTAGAGACAAAGTTGAAGTACTTTGGCCACATCATGAGGAGACAGCAAAGTCTAGAGAAGACAATTATGCTGGGGAAAGTGGAAGGCAAAAGGAAGAGGGGCCGACCAAGGGCAAGATGGATGGATGGCATCCTTGAAGTGACTGGACTGACCTTGAAGGAGCTGGGGGTGGTGACGGCCGACAGGGAGCTCTGGCGTGGGCTGGTCCATGAGGTCACGAAGTGTCGGAGACGACTGAACGAATGAACAACAACAATTATTATTATTATTATTATTATTATTATTATTATCTTATTGACACAAAAACACAGTATGTCACAGCAAATGAGATCTTATGCTGGATTTCATATCACAAAATCACAAGTCGAACACTTCCCAAGCGTCTAAGACTGTGTGATGTATTTTTGAATGATATGCACAGAAACAAGTAAGGAGGCCTTTTGCAGTTGACAGATCGTGATTTTGTTGATGTTTATTGTTTCCAAATGCCGGCTGAGATCTTTTGGCACGGCACCCAGTGTGCCAATGACTACTGGGACCACTTGTATTGGTTTATGGCAGAGCCTTTGCAGTTCGATTTTGAGGTCTTGATAGCGGCTGAATTTTTCCTGTTGTTTTTCCTCAATGCGACTGTCACCCAGTATGGCGACATCAATAATCCAGACTTTTTTCTTTTCCACAATCGTGATGTCTGGTGTATTGTGTTCCAAAACTTTGTCAGTCTGGATTCGAAACTCCCACAGTATTTTTGCATGTTCATTTTCCACGACCTTTGTGGGTTTATGATCCCACCAATTCTTTACTGCTGGCAGGTGGTACTTGTGACGTAAGTTCCAGTGAATCATCTTGGCCACAGAGTTGTGTCTTTGTTTGTAGTCCGTCTGTGTGATTTTCTTGCAACAGCTGAGGATATGGTCCATGGTTTCATCAGCTTCCTTGCACAGTCTGCATTTTGGGTCATCCGCTGATTTTTCAATCCTGGCCTTAATTGCATTTGTTCTGATGGCTTGCTCCTGGGCTGCAAGAATCAGGCCTTCTGTCTCCTTCTTCAGGGTTCCATTCATGAGGCATAACCAGGTCTTCTCCTTGTCAACTTTTCCTTCAATCTTCTCAAGGAACTGTCCATGTAAGGCTTTGTTGTGCCAGCTGTCAGCTCTGGTTTGGAATGCAGTTTTCTTGTACTGACTCTTTGTCTGCTGTGCATTGAGAAGTTTCCAACTATTGACTTCAGTTAAAGCAGGTTCTTGACTTTCCTTAACATATTCTGCCAGGGTGTGTTTTTCTTCTTCAACTGCTTGTAAAATTTGTAAAATTATTATTATTATTATTATTTATCATCCAATGCTCAAACCACAGCCCTACCACAGGTCACATTTGCCCTTCCCTTGTACCTAATACACAGCACACTCAAAACAAAACCAATCAGTTTGATCCATTAACAGTTCTATATCCAGGACACCAGCAAAACAGTGCTTGGGAACCATTTTTATTGGCACCAGCAGGGCGTGGGTCCATAGTACAAATCAAGTATCTGCTCACTTTTTCCCCAAACCCACCCAAAGGGTAGGTGGGCTGAGCCCCCAGTGAACTGCTCCAACAGTTGTGATGTGTACTAAGTACACAAGGATTCAAGGATTACTGGTGATAATATATTATAGAGCAGTGTTTCTCAACCTGGGGGTCACAAGAGGGGTGTCAGAGGGGTAGCCAAAGACCATCAGAAAACACAGTATTTTTTGTTGGTCATGGGGGTTCTGTGTGCAAAGTTTGGCCTAATTTTATAATTGGTGGGGTTCAGAATGCACTTTGATTGGAGGTGAACTTTAAATCCCAGGAATTACAACTCCCAAATGTCAAGTCTCTTTTCCTCAAACTCCACTAGTGTTCACATTATTGAGCATTCATGCCAGTTTTGATCCAGATCCATCATTGTTTGAGTCCACAGTGTTCTTTGGATGTAGGTGTACTACAACTCCAAAACTCAGGGTTAATGTCCACCAAACCCTTCCAGTATTTTCTCTTGGTCATAGGAGCTTGGTTCAAGTTTGGTTCAACTCTATCATTTGCGGAGTTCGGAATGCTCTTTGGTTTTAGGCGAACTATAAATCCCAGCAACTACAACACCCAAATGACAAAATAACCCACCCACCCACCTACCCCCAATATTCAAATTTGGGCGTATCAGGCATTTGTGTCAAATTTGGTCCTGGGAATGAAAATACATTCTACATATCAGATATTAATATTATGATTCATAACAGTAGCAAAATTACAGTTATGACGTAGCAACAAAAATAATGTTATAGTTGGGGGTCACCACAACATGAGGAACTGTATTATGGGGTCGCGGCATTAGGAAGGTTGAGAACCACTGTTATAGAGGAAACAACAGTGCTTGAATCCTCAGAAGGCAGTTGTGTGTGTGATGACTTGTCTTTGATAATATTGGAAAGTTAGGGGGAAGGTGGATGGTTGGATGCATGGGAGGGAATGAGAACCATGGAAAATTCTCACTCACATTTCCCCCAGAATTTGGTTACTGTAGTGGTATATCTACATGCTAGGTTAGAAGGTACACATTAAACAGAAATGCGTGATGTGTTCATACGGCTCTCTCACATTCCGAGAAACCTTCACAAGTGGACTCCATTGACATTAAGCTGTAGTGTGTGAATAGCAATGGTTATGATTCTGTATCCTTGAAGAAACACTTCCACCCAAATACCTGATGTGCTCACAATTATTCAAGTCCCAAGCATTGTTCCTGTTTAGATATGCCACATCTGGTTGGCCATAACTACCACTGCCTTCATGAGAGTCTGGAACAGGCTCCAATTGTTATGTTGATGGGGACTCTAGGGTTTGTAGTAAAAAAAAAAAAGCAACATAATTTTCAGGCTCTATGCAGGCAGTCTCCAAGTAATGAACAAGATAGGTACTGTCAGTTTATTCTTAGGTTGACTTTGTATGTAAGCTGGAACAGATACGTTTTTATGGGTAACTCCAACCATACTACTTTCCAAGGCAAGGTGGCACCACAACTTCAAATCTGACCATATTTATGATTCAATACAATTACTTGTTTTAATATTCCATAGAAAGTCCATTTGTTCCAAAACTACCTCTACAGAAGTCCTTCAAAGAACTACTGTATATTCTGGTGAGTAAGACTACTTTTTAACCCAAGAAAATCTTCTCAAAAGTCAGGGGTTGTCTTATACACGGGAGTCGTCTTATACGCTGGGGTAGCCTTATACATGGGAGTAATCTTATATGCAAAGATAGTCTTATACGCTGGGAGTTGAAACTTCCAATCCAGATTGGAGAATCTGTGGTTGCCACATATTGTGGGGGGAGCTCAAAAATGGCTGAAACTTCCAATCCAGATTGGAGAATCTGTGGTTGCCGCATATTGTGGGGGGAGCTCAAAAATGGCACTGACGGCGTCCCTGCCGTATGCAGCGACTGTATGAAAGCATTCAGGGTAGAAGAAAATCCATTCATCAGGATTCGTGGACTTAATGAGGTCTCGATGGTGAGGTGAAGAAGTGCCTCATCGGGAAGGTGCAAGCTGCAGGCATCCGGGACGCCTGGGGTATGGAAAAAAGAGATAGAGTGGCTCTGGGCCCAGAAAAACTCAACTCTTTTACCTGTCTGGCCCGCCCTTGTATCCTATTATTGTACCGCCTCCTCTGCCTCTCAGATCTCGCTCCTGAAGACTGCAGTGAAGGTGCGCATGTGCGAGATCTGAGAGGCAGAGAAGGAGGTACAGTAATAGGAAAACTTTCATACTGAAGTCAAATCTGATGCTTTTAAATTTTTTATTTGGTGTGTTGGAAGAGCGGTAGTTTTATACGGTGAGTATATCCCAAACTCTCTATTTTAACTGGAAAAGTTGGGGGTCGTCTTAAACGCCCAGTCGTCTTATATGCTGGAATATACGGTAGTTCGTGTGGTCACTACTTGTTCTGTAGTTTCTAAAAACTTTAATTAGTAGACAACACATATTGTATATTAACTTTTTTTTTATTCTTTAGTAAGTATGAGGGTTTGTGTTTAAATCACAACATTCTGTGGAGATATTTGGATAGTAGAATTCATGGACTCCTGGAAAATACTGAATATAAAGATCAATTCCTAATATCTCGCACACTTCAACTGTTCTGAAAACAACTCAATTCTTGCAGATAGCATTTATTATTTTAAAATAATTTAAGACAGCATAAGCTTGTACCAAACATAAGCATTTTAACAAAAGTGCAACTTTCCCCAACAATTCCTTCTCGAAATAGTTTTAACTCAAAATATCATTAATGCATATCTTCTTCCTACAAAAATAGCATGTCAGACATCATTAATTGGATGTATTAACAACTATATACATACAGCCATTCTGTTGGCTCTGTAAGATTTTTTTTAAAAGAAAGAAATGTGGGTGGGTGAACAACGTTGTTGAAACACAGCGTTTGAGGCAAACAGAAGCAACAGCAGTAGCAGCAAACACACCCAAAATGACTAACAGACCCAGGCATATTCACTCAGTCAGACTGTTGTGTCTCACCTCTTACATAACATTGGAGTGAGATTTCTCACAGTGCTACCTTGGCAACAAACTAAAAATATCTATGCAAGGTTCTCGGCTTAAGCCTTATTAACAGAGCTTTAGTTGTGTGATTATCTGGTGTCTGGCAACAGTTCCCAGAAAGGGAAATTGGGATATCTGGAGACAGAAAGGCCTTGCAGTAAAGCCTCATCCTACCTTTTCCTCATTACCACACACATATTTTGTTATTAATATGAGTTTTCTTTCCTTAGGATATCCAGCTAAGAAGTCTTTAATGGTGGCCTTTATCCCCATGGCAGGAAAAGCACTTTTTGGTTGCCTTCATCTATCAAGAAAGAAGAGACCAACAGAGGCTCACTATCCTTTGGAGATACAACATAAGCTTGGATTAGGTCGCAATCACAAATGCACTTACCAGGATATGAACCCTACCAAACGCAGTGGAATCACTTTTTTTTCTGAATAAGCATGGATAGCATTGGAGTCTTCATGCTAGACATTTATTTGCAATCTAGTCTAGCCATGATCCTTGCCATACAGCAAAGTAACTTGAAATCAGGAACTTAGCTAAAACAAAAATCTAAATAATAAAATGGAGGTGAATAAACTTGCTTTAGGGGGGGAAATGACATCATGGATGGTTCCTGCATTGTCTGAACTGCTGAGCTAATGCCAGGGGAGATATAAGGATGCAAGACAGCAACAAAAGGTCAATTCATTTATGACCTATTTGTCAATAAAGTGCTAGCGATATAAAGTGAAAGCTATTCTCACCTCAGTGCACCCCCATTCTTCATCATGAATGGACCAATCCAGTCCTCTGAACGTTTCAAGTCACAAAGGTAACAAATAGTCCAGTGGTTCTCAACCTGTGGGTCCCCAGGTGTTTTGGCCTACAACTCCCAGAAATCCCATCCAGTTTACCAGCTGTTAGGATTTCTGGGAGTTGAAGGCCAAAACATCTGGGGACTCACAGGTTGAGAACCACTGCAATAGTCCATGGAAATGATCCCTAAGCTCCACCAACTTGTTGTCATTTGGCCCAACTGAATGTCAGTCTTTGTGATTTCAGTTCCTACAATTCACTGACTTATGCCTAGTAATTCATGTGGACAGTTATAGTAATATCAGTATAGGTTCTTGTGGGGTTTTTTTCGGGCTATATGGCCATGTTCTAGAGGCATTTTTTCCTGACGTTTCGCCTGCATCTATGGCAAGCATCCTCAGAGGTAGTGAGGTCTGTTGGAAATAGGAAAAAGGGAACTAGGAAAGATGCAGGCGAAACATCAGGAGAGAATGCCTCTAGAACGTTTCACCTGCATCTATGGCAAGCATCCTCAGAGGTAGTGAGGTCTGTTGGAATTAGGACAATGGGTTTATATATCTGTGGAATGACTGGGGTGGGGCACAGAGCTCTTCTCTGCTGAAGCTAGGTGTGAATGTTTCAGCTGACCACCTTCATTAGCATTTGAAGGCCTGGCTGAGCCTGGGAAAATGTTTTGTTGAGAGGTGTTAAGATGTGCCTGGTTGTTTCCTCTCTGCTGTTGTAATTTTAGAGTTTTAGCCCGAAAAAACCCACAAGAACCTAGTGATTCTAGCCATGAAAGCCTTTGACAATACAATATCAGTATATATCAATAATAAATCATTGGGCTCATTTAGACTTAATCTCAGGAAACTGACAATACAACTGAAAATTAACCCAATCAAGTAGGAAGCATATTACGTTTTGCCCATTATGGACGCAATCCACTGGGAAATTCTTCTACATAAACACCAATTAAATTAATGGAAATAACCTGACATGCTGTGAGCTGAGCACAGCTTATACAAGGCAGGTGTAATGCAAAACGTCCAACAGGTTATGTTTCTTTGAATCAGTTTCATGACAGATGCACTGCTCTAAAGTACTCTTTCAATTTACTTTTGTTCCAGCCCAAATACAGAAGAGGAATATATGCTCCATAATGTTTAAAAATTTGCAAATATACTGGCCCAAATCCAGTTGCTAGTCTCAATTAGACTTGTTAGATCAATGGGATTTGTCTAATGTTGACTTACCACTCAGCAACTAATATAATCAGTCTCTAAAACTGGGGAGAACCAACCTGGTGGAGTGGTTTGAATGTTGGCCTATGATTCTGGAGACAAATATGTACTGTGACAAGTCACACACTCTCGGCCCCAGAAAGTCCTCTGATAGACAATGGCAGACTGACCAAAGTGTCAGCTTGCCCAAAGGCAAGGGAGTCAAACATTAGACAATATGGTAAAAATGCTAATGACCTTTTGTTTCATGGCAACCCATATTTTGGACCCAATCTGCCACTGGCGATAGGTTTGCCTTGGGGTCACCATAAATCAGAAACACATTGAAGTTCGAATTGAATTGAAACCACAACAGGACAACAAAACTAGCTGGGACTAGCCACTGAGGCCCCTTTTTCATTGCCACATAAAATCCAGATTATCTGCTTTGAACTGGATTATATGGCAGTTCAAATATGGCAGTGAACTGGATTCATATTATCCAGTTCAAAACAGATGTGGATTATCTGCTTGGATGAGAGACTCCCCCCTGGGCACACAGAAAACTGGGCAACTTGAAAGGCGCTGAACAGACTGCGCTCTGGCACCACGAGATGCAGAGCCAACCTTCAGAAATGGGGCCACAAAGTGGAATCCTCGACATGCGAGTGTGGAGAAGAGCAAACCACAGACCACCTGCTGCAATGTAATCTGAGTCCTGCTACATGCACAATGCAGGACCTTCTTGCGGCAAAACCAGAGGCACTCCAAGTGGCCAGATACTGGTCAAAGGACATTTAATCAACTACCAAGCTTGCAAACTTTGTGTTTTTGTTTGTCTGTTTGTTTGTTAAAAAAATGCAATGCAACTGTTTGGTCTGCCCCTGACACGATAAATAAAATAAATCTGCTTGGATTATCTGGCAGTGTAGAAGGGGCCTAAATTTAGACCAATGTAACTTAAAAAATATTATTATGGGAAATGAAGTGGGGAAAAGATGAAAGATCCCCCCCCCCCCAAAAAAAAGATATATAGGGAGAAGAAAGAGCTTTCTTGAGGACAAAAACAAGAGGCAATCACTCTTTGAAGGGATCAGTTACATTCAAGGAAGAGGCCTGTCTGTCATTCTCAGGTGTGGCAGGTCCTTCCTGTTGAACAAGGGAGTCTAAACCCAAAGTGTTGTTTGTGAAAGGCTGCCTCTGCCTCTCATTCGGTCAAGGCTCTTCCTCTCCAGAAGAGGGTGAAGGCTGTTCTGGAGAAGGGGGCTCTGTCTCCAAGGGAATCCCTGCACTGAAGAGAGCTGGAAGGGGCTGGGAAGGAGAAGCCAGATCAGGAGAAAGCAGGGCAGAGGAGGCTGAAGCAGAGGCTTTCTCTGCTGGCGCCAAGACAGAGGAGAGGCAAGGGAAGGCGGGGGCCGGAATCCCAGGGTAGAGCAAAGGGATGGGAGCAGTTGCTGTTTGATAGAGATACTTGTCCAAGTTGCTCTTGTCCAGGAAAGGCTGCATGTAGGCGGCGGCGGAAGGGGAGAGGAAGTAGAAAGGCAGGCAGAAAGGAGCTGCAGGGGGCTGCCCAAAAGGGGACGCTGCTCCATTGCCCAGGCCTCCCAAAGCCATCAAGGAGCTCAGCAAGGTGGGGTCGGGCCTTAGGAGGGCTGCTGCCGCTTGCTCTGCAACACAGTCCAGCTTCAGCCTCTTGGCTTTTGGTGGGGCATCCTCCCCAGGAAGCTCCTGCTTGATCCGAACCTTCTCACCTTCCCCCTCTCCGCCGTAGCCACTGTCAGTGTCAGTGTCATTCTCTCCACCAAGCTCCACACTGCTGTTACCATTCCCAGCAAGATGGTGCCCATTTGGAGCAGCTGCACTCCCAGCCCCACTGCTGTTGGTGCTCTGAGTCCTCTGGATGACAGGCACACAGTTGGGGTGGCTCTCTTTGCCCACCATTGAGCCCTTGGGAACTGGAAGCTGGGTGCCCGGTAGGAAGCGGGCACAGACAGCATGCAGGTGGCCAATCAGCTGGACACAGCGCTGCTCCCGGGCCGCCCAGCTTTCAAAGCGGGAGAGGTATTGCAAAACTTCTTTGGTGCAGGTCTGGAAGCCCGAGTGGAAAGCGTCCAAATCCGACTGCAGGGGAGACTTTGGAAACCTCTCTCCTGCAATGGAAAGAAGAGCCGGAAAAACAAAACCAATTAATATGATGATGTATTGTCGAAGGCTTTCATGGCCAGAATCACTGGGTTGTTGTAGGTTTTTTCGGGCTATATGGCCATGTTCTAGAGGCATTCTCTCCTGACGTTTCACCTGCATCTATGGCAAGCATCCTCAGAGGTAGTGAGGTCTGTTGGAACTAGGAAAAAGGGAACTAGGAAAGATGCAGGCGAAACGTCAGGAGAGAATGCCTCTAGAACATGGCCATATAGTCCGAAAAAACCTACAACAACCCAATATGATGATGATTTGCAAATATACAGAGTGGATGATGCCTGGCTCAACAACAGTCCATGTGAAAAAGATCTTGGACAAGTTGAATTTGAGTCAATAGTGTGATGCAGCAACTAAAAAAGCCAATGGGATTTTGGGCTGCATCAAAAGGAGCATAATAACTAGATCAGAGTTTCACAAACTGTGCTTCTCCAGGTGTTTTGGACTTCAGCTCCCAGTAATCCCAGCCACCTCACCAGCTGCCTGCTAATAGGAATTGTGGGAGCTAAAGTCTAAAACATTTGGAGGAGCACAGTTTGAGAAACACTTATCTAGAATGAGGGAAGTCATGGTGTCTCTCTATTCTGCTTTGGTCAGACCTCTTTAACAAAATGGTTTTAAATAATAATAATAATAATAATAATAATAATAATAATAATAATACTTTAGTTATACCCCGCCACCATCTCCCCAAGGGACTCGGAGCGGCTTACATGAGGCCAAGCCCAACAACACATCAATAAAACAAAAAGCAATAAACAAAACCAATAAATACAATACAATTAATATAAATCACATATAAACAATAACTAATAAACAGTAACACACAAGGATTTAAAAACCTATGGCCGGGCCAAATGTAATAGTTTAAAAAAAATTTAAAAATTTAAAAAAACAGTGTATTTTAATATTGAGACAAATGTTTTTAATGTTTAATTCCCGCACTGAATGTTTGCCATATGTATGCTGTGCTCCGCCCTGAGTCCCCTTCAGGTTGAGAATATAAATGTTTTAAATAAATAATCTGGAATAATGTGTCCAGTTCTGGGCCACCCCTGTTCAAAAGAGATATTGACAAGTTGGAAGGTGTCCAAAGGAGGGTGACTAAAATGATCAAAGGTCTAGAGACCATGAATCCTTATGAGGAGTGACTTAAAGAGCTCAGTATGTTTAGCCTGCAGAAGAGAAGGTTGACAGTGGGATTTTGTGCTGCATCAAAAGGAATATTATCAAGGGAAGCAATGGGGAATGGCTTAAAGAGCCGGGTATGTTTAGCCTGCAGAAGAGAAGGTTGAGAGGAGACATGAGAGCCATATTGAAATATCTGCAAGACTGTCATAAGGAAGAATCATAGAATCAAAGAGTTGGAAGAGACCTCATGGGCCATCCAGTCCAACCCCATCCTGCCAAGAAGCAGAATATTGCATTCAAATCACCCCTGACAGATGGCCATCCAGCCTCTGTTTAAAAGCTTCCAAAGAAGGAGCCTCCACCACACTCCGGGGCAGAGAGTTCCACTGCTGAACGGCTCTCACAGTCAGGAAGTTCTTCCTCATGTTCAGATGGAATCTCCTCTCTTGTAGTTTGAAGCCATTGTTCCACATCCTACTCTCCAGGGAAGCAGAAAACAGTCTTGCTCCCTCCTCCCTGTGGCTTCCTCTCACATATTTATACATGGCTATCATATCCCCTCTCAGCAGGGAGCAGACTTGTTTTCTGCTGTCCTGGAAACTAGGACTCAGAAAAATGGCTTCAAATTACAGAAAATGAGATTCCGCCTGAACATTAGGAAGAACTTCCTGACCACACGAGCTGTTCCTCTCTGCCTCGGAGTGTAGTGGGAGCTCCTTCTTTGGAGCCTTTTAGAGGCTAGGTGGCTATCTATCAGGGGTACTTTCATTGTACGTTTCCTGATGGCCCATGTGGTCTTTTCCAACTCTATTATTCTATGATGATGATGATGATGATGATGATGATGATGATTTTTATTTATACCCCACTTTTTCTCTCCAAAAGGGGACAGAGGCCCCTTCTACACTGCCATATAATCCAGACTATCAAAGCAGATAATCTACTTTATTTGCTTTGAACTGGATTATATGAGTCTACATTGCCATATAGTCCAAAGAAGTTGATCTGGATTTTATATGGCAGTGTAGAAGGGGTCTAACTCTGCTAATCATAGGCCCCTTCTACACAGGGATCTGTAGTTCAACAGGTAATATTTATTTATTTATTTATTTCACAGTTTTGTATACCGAGCTTCTCAACCTCGTTGAGGGACTCAGCCCGGTTTACAGCCATAAAAACATATACATTCATTAAAATATCATATATCACAAATTACACATCAACTTTAAAATACACTAAATATAAAACTACAGTGGTCAGTCATCCTATTAAGATGGATCTATATCCACTTCCATCCAGAGTCCTATGGTGTTGTCTCATTCCTTGAAGGCCTGACTCCACAGCCACGTCTTCACCCGTTTCCTAAATGTTAGGATGGATGGGGCGGTTCTGGCCTCCAGAGGGAGAGAGTTCCAGAGTCGCGGGGCCACCACCGAGAAGGCCCTGTCCCTCGTCCCCACCAGGCGCGCTTGCGAGGCCGGTGGGATCGAGAGCAGGGCCTCTCCAGATGATCTTAGTAATCTTGATGGTTTGTAGGGGAGAATACGTTCGGAGGTAACACATTAAGATTCATTTACTGGTTGTGTGCTTTTAAGTAATTTCTGATTTCTGGAAACTCTAAGATGAATTTATCATGGGGTTTCCTTTGCCTTCCTTTGAGGCTGAGAGAGTGTGACTTTGCCAAGGTCACCCAGTGGCTGAGTGGGGATTTGATCTCCAGAATCTGGTGTGCACTATACCTCTCTGGTTTCCTTCCTTCTTTCCTTACTCACTCACTCACTTAGAAGCCATAAATAAACACAATGGGAACTACTTTACAAGTACTTCCAATTGATAATAGAAACTACTTTCAAGTAAAGACTCAAGGCATTAGTCTGCTGTTATTGTTGTTTCTAGCTATTTTTATTATGTTGTTTTATACTGTTTTATGTTGTTTTAATTGTTAATGCTTTATTTTAACTGTATTCTGCCTGGGCTTGGGCCCCATGTAAGCTGCCCCGAGTCCCTTCAGGGAGATGGAGGCGGGGTAGAAAAACAAAGTTCTTCTTCTTCTTTTAAACAGATGAAGGATGAAGTTCCTCTTCCCAGAACAAAGTTTTTGCCTTCTACTCAAGCGTCACCTTCTTTTTCATAGAATAATAGAATCATAGAATCAAAAAGTTGGAAGAGACCTCATGGGCCATCCAGTCCAACCCCCTGCCAAGAAGCAGGAATATTGCATTCAAGCAGGAATATTGCATTTTAGGAACAGAACAATCAGGAACAAGCATCAAAAACCCAAGAACAAACCAAGATCAAAAAATCCTGTGATATCCAATTGCAGGGACATACAGACATGCGAATATCCAGATATTCGGCTAAAAACTGTGATATTCCCGCACCTGGAAATTTTGCAGGTTTTGCCTTTTATTGTGATTACTTCCAGGTTTATAGAGAACGGCATCTGGCCACCCTCCTCATTGCTACAGGAGCTCCTGGGATAAAGGTACTGTCTGGATGGGCTCTGTGAAGACTATTAAAACTCCCATAAGAGCATCAGCATTGATCTACCAAGTTTTCCCTTGCCTCCTGTTTGCCTCTTACATTGTTCTGGGCATTTACTTACCATTCTGTAAAGCAATTATCTTCTGATGCTGTTGTTCCGTTAAGGCTGTTAAAGCTTTTAAATGTTTCAAAGTTAATTCCAAAACTACGGCTTTCTCCAGATGCCCTAATGTCTGCAAAGGGGAAAATAGGAACATTCTGATTAGTCATTGGCAGATCGAACCTTGTATTCTCTTTTCCAAAACTTCACTGAAGTCACTTTGAAAAGCATTTGATATTTGGGCTGGATTTACTGATAAAACACAATCCGATCTGAAACTTCTTGTGATACTTCTTTGCCCTATTATAACATCTGTTAACTGATAAGGAACTTTCGTTACATGCTGGAGGTATGGATAAAAGCATTGACTAGTTTGGAACCCTAAAACATAAACATCCCATGGAAAACTACTGTATATTCTAGCATATAAGACGACTGGGCGTATAAGATGACCCCCAACTTTTCCAGTTAAAATATAGAGTTTGGGATATACTGTATTCGCCGTATAAGACTACCCCTCTTCCAATGCATACCAAATAAGAATTTAAAAAGCATCAGATTTGATTTCAATATGGTAATTTTCCTATAACTGTACCTCCTTCTCTGCCTCTCAGATCTCGTAGATGCACACATGCGCACCTGACCACTTCACTGCAGTCTTCAGGAGCGAGATCTGAGAGGCAGAGGATGGTAATAGGATACAAGGGTGGTAAAAGAGGTAGTTTTTCTGGGCCCAGAGCCACTCTATCTCTTTTTTCCATACCCTGGGTGCCCCGGACGCCTGCAGTTTGCTCCACCCTTCACTTACACCTTTCTGGTGAGGCACCCCTTCACCTCACCATCGGGACCGCATTAAGTCCATGAATCCTGATGAATTGATTTTCTTCTACCGTACTTGTACAGCGTCGCCCTTAATGCTTTCATACAGTTGCTGCATATGGCAGGGGCACGGCCATTGCCATTTTTGAGCTTCCCCCACCATATGCGGCAACTACAGATTCTCCAATCCGATTGGAAGTTTCAGCACCCACTCTATAAGATGACTCCCATGTATAAGACTACTCCCGTGTATAAGACTACTCCTGCGTATAAGACGACCCCTGACTTTTGAGAATATTTTCTTAGGTTAAAAAGTAATCTTATACACCAGAATATACGGTAATTCTCAAAGTGCATGTTTAAAACTGTTGCATTTTAAGTTAGGGAAAACCCTGATGGGTTTACATCTAAGCAAGCAAAAACAAGAAGAAGAGCCTGATCTTTAGATAAATACGACATCCTTCATAGTGCATTCACTCACATCCATGTTTACTCAGAAGTAAGTCCCACTTAGTTCAACAAGGCTTACTCTGAAGTAATGCGCCTAAGATTCCAGCCTTGTAGCACAAGCCTTGTAGCACATACTCAGGAGTATGTTCTCTTGAATCCAATGGGTTGAATCCAGAGTTAGTTACACTGTAAGCCCCCCTTCCCCACCTCAATGAAAAGACTAGAATTTAAATTATTACTAATCCAAAGCCCACTTATTTAAATGGATCTGTTCTAAGGATGACTAACGCTGGGAACTACCCAAGGGGAGTTCCTCCTAAGTCAGCAGGCATCGAGCTGCAGCCTTGAAAGCACAAACAGCAGCAAGAACCATCAGTGTGGTCTGTTGATAAAGATATTTAACAGCTACAAGTATATATATAATGGACATGAAAATATGAAATGTAGTGATGAAACTTACTGTCAGTTTCAGATGCTCGGGCAATAAATCTTTCAGTTGTGCAATGCACTCATTAATCCTGTCCCGTCTTTTCTTCTCAATTAATCTATGTGGTAGTTTGTATGTGTCCTAAGCAGGGAGGGAAAAAGGACAAGTCATTAATATTTATTCTAACTGTCCATCAGTATTCAAGAAAAGATCCAGCCAGGCTTTCTCCTCGTTTCAAGATAAAACTTATTCCAGAAGGGGTATCTCCAATTGTGATTATATATAGAGAGGGGGGAAGGGAGGAAGAGCGAGAGAGCTGTTTGGCAATGGAATATGCTGCCTTGGAGTGTGATGGAGCCTCCTTCTCTGGAAGTATTTAAGCAGAGGCTGGATTGCCATCTGTTTAAAAGAGCTTTGGTTGCATATTCCTAAACTGCATATGGGGTTGGACTGGATGGCCCTTGAGGTCTCTTCCAACTCTAGGATTCTATGACTCAAAATGAAGGAGACCCTTATCATGTTGTGAATTTATATAAATAATAATGTTCGTTTGTGGGATTAACATAACTCAAAAATCACTGGACAAATTGACACCAAATTTGGACACAATACACCTATCAGGCCAACAAGTGACCACCACTCATAAAAACACTGAAAAACATAGTGGAAGGGACTTCAAAAGCCAAAAATTAAAAAATACATTACAACGCATGCAAAAACCACATATATACACATATAAACATACATACACACACAAAACACATATACACAGACTGGGCCACAGCAACACGTGGCAGGGGACGGCTAGTATACACACACACACACACACACATGTATATTTATTATACTATATATGTTCCTAAATGGCAGGGTGTTGGACTGGATGGCCCTAAGGGTCTCTTCCAACTCTAGGATTCTTTGATTCAAACTGAAGGAGACTCTTATCATGTTGTGAATATATATATCTACACATGTTTGTGTGTATCCCAACACACACACATATAATATTTATTATACTATATATGTTCCTAAATGGCAGGGCGTTGGACTGGATAGCCCTTGGTGTCTCTCCCAGCTCTAGGATTCTGTAATATATACATACATTCATACATAGATGTTGTGAATGTGTGTGTGTATATATCCCTGCAGGAAAAAATATTCCATCTAAACATTAGGAAGAACTTTCTGGTGATGTCCTGTTGTGTGTGTGTATTATAATACAACATACAGTATAATAAATATTATATATTTTATCTCAAATATTTCTTATACTGTATATTATATATTTTACTATACACACACACATATATAAACAAACCCAACAGGAAGTAGTCAGGACCTTCTTCCTAATGATTAGATGGAATATTTGGAATATTTTGAACATTTTGAATATTCAATTGTTTTTGAATAATTGAATACATTAAAATTTTAAATATTAATAGTAATTTATAATTAATTAAGATTGTAATATATACAAGATTGTAATATATATACGCTGTCAGATAGATAGATAAAAAGAAGTATTAAAAATTGTCAAAGGCTTTCATGGCTGGAATCACTAGGTTCTTGTGGGTTTTTTCGGGCTATAGAGCCATGTTCTAGAGGCATTTCTCCTGACGTTTCGCCTGCATCTATGGCAAGCACCTCACTACCTCTGAGGATGCTTGCCATAGATGCAGGCGAAACGTCAGGAGAAATGCCTCTAGAACATGGCTCTATAGCCCGAAAAAACCCACAAGAACCTAGTATTAAAAATATTTCAATGAAAAATAATTGAATACTCAAAAGGTTTTTTGAAAATGTTTCATATGTATATCGATATAGATAAGAAATATTAAAAAATTGAATATAATTGAATACTCAAAAGTTTTTTTGAAAATATTTCATATGTATATCAATATAGATAAGAAATATTTAAAAAACATTTTGAACATTCATTAAAGTATTTAAAATAGGAATTTTAAAATGTTCAATACTAAAGTGTTATAGATATATTACAATCATAATTAATTTTAAATTATTATTAACATTTAAATGTTAATGTATCCAATCTATTTTTTGAAATGCTGTAAAGATATTTTGAAAATTAAATTCTTTTTATGAAATATGATGAATGTTTTAAAATATGATTTTAAAACGTTTTAAATATTAAAATATTTCTTATACATTATATTGTATTGAATTATATTGCAAATATATGCCTCCCTCCACCCACCCTAGATGTGTTCTCGCTCTCTTTGAACCCCGCCAGTCAGGCCCGTAGCCAGGATTTCGTTTTGGGGGGGGGGGGCTGAATTTTTTTTCAGGGAGGGTTTCGGGGGGGGGCTGAGTTTCGGGGGGGGGGCTGAGTCTGAGTGAAAGAGGGTCTACGCTAGCAAACCTTTTGTATCATTACCCCAATACCCCCACGCATATGAGATATATTGAGTAGGGTGATCAGATCATGATATGAATAAACATAACAGTTTAAATAATGCACCAGTAAGGCCTTTTCGCGAACCACCATGAGAATTTCGGGGGGGGGTGGGCTGAAGCCCCCCGAGCCCCCCCCCCCCCGGCTACATGCCTGGGCTGTGTGGTGGTGGTGGTGGGAGCATGGGATGGTTGCGGCGACCTCCGATGATGGGAGAAAGAGAGACGGTCTCTAAGATACAATGGTCCCTGGCCATATAAAGTTTTGAAGGTCAGGACCAGCATCTTTTTTAAAAAAACATTTTGAACATTTATTAAAGTATTTAAAATAGGAATTTTAAAATCATAGAATCATAGAATCAAAGAGTTGGAAGAGACCTCATGGGCCATCCAGTCCAACCCCCTGCCAAGAAGCAGGAATATTGCATTCAAATCACCCCTGACAAATGGCCATCCAGCCTCTGCTTAAAAGCTTCCAAAGAAGGAGCCTCCACCACACTCCGGGGCAGAGAGTTCCACTGCTGAACGGCTCTCACAGTCAGGAAGTTCTTCCTCATGTTCAGATGGAATCTCCTCTCTTGTAGTTTGAAGCCATTGTTCCGCGTCCTAGTCTCCAAGGAAGCAGAAAACAAGCTTGCTCCCTCCTCCCTGTGGCTTCCTCTCACATATTTATACATGGCTAGCTATCATATCTCCTCTCAGCCTTCTCTTCTTCAGGCTAAACATGCCCAGATCCTTAAACCGCTCCTCATAGGGCTTGTTCTCCAGGCCCTTGATCATTTTAGTCGCCCTCCTCTGGACACATTCCAGCTTGTACAATACTAAAGTGTTATAGATATATTACAATCATAATTAATTTTAAATTATTATTAACATTTAAATGTTAATGTATCCAATCTATTTTTTGAAATGCTATAAAGAGATTTTGAAAATTAAATTCTTTTTTATGAAATATTGTGAATATTTTAAAATATGATTGTAAAACGTTTTAAATATTAAAATATTTCTTATACATTATATTGTATTGAATTATATTGCAAATCTATGCCTCCCTCCACCCACCCTATGTTCTCGCTCTCTTTGAACCCCGCCAGTCCCAACCCCTGCCTGGGGGACCCCAAGAAACTTGTCTCTTACTTGTCCCACTTACAAAAGCCCTTTGTCTCACCCTGGTCATTCCACAGATATATAAACCCCCTTTTTCCCATTTCCAGCAGACCTCACCTCTGAGGAAGCTTGCCATAGATGCAGGCGAAACGTCAGGAGAAATGCCTCTAGAACATGGCCATATAGCCCGAAAAAACCCACAAGAACTGAACTTGTCTCTTACCTTGCTGTCATCCCGCTTCATGCCCCTCTTGGGTTTGCACAGGTACAAGGAGGGGTAATCCATCCTGCAAAGGGAAGGGGAGAGAAAAGGGAGACGGTGACGGTTCCATCCCTGACCGGTCCAAGGCTGGAAGGTTTGGAGTGGGCAAACCTCCCTCCGGGCGCTGCTTACCCGAGGAAGTCCCGGGGCTCCAGCACGGCTCTGCCTTCCTCCATGCCGGGAAGCCGCTTCCTCCTCGAATCCTGGCGCTGTCTGGGCAGATGGCGGGGCACCAGAGTGGCACATGCAGTTGTAGGAGAGCCGGGTGGGGAGAGCAGGAGGGGAGGAGGAGGGAGCGCGGAGGGAGTTTGGATCCCCTCCCTCCCTCCTTCCCTCCCTCCCCCCCCCCCCCCCCCCCCCCGTTTCTCTCTGCCCACTCCTGCGCCTCGCCCCCCCCTCCCCTCCCCAGCCCTACACGCCTTTGGCGCTGCCGGGTGCGTGGTTTGCCCGCAGGACACGCGCCTCGCCCGACAGACCAGCACCCGGCGCACGTGCGGAACGTACCAAGCGGTTGGGGGGGGGGGGGGGAAGGGAAGGGACAACGCGCCACTTTGGGCGAAGTCCTGTCTTCTTTCTCCAAGGGGGTCCCTTGTCTAGTCCCAGATCCAGGCCTGTAGCGAGGGGGTGGTTTTAGGGGTTCAAACCCCCCCGAAATGTTTCAGATTTTTTTTAAAAAAACTGGTTTACTCATGAATTTTAACTGGTTAACCAAATCCCCCTGCTAAGTCTATGAGATGCAAAAAATTAAGAGTCCCTTCAGAACTGTAAGCACTATCTCAAGCAAATATTGACAATTTATTCACACTGTCATTACTTGCAGCAATAGCCGATGTAGTGAAGTAACCAAGTTGGGTGGGTGTGTGTTGAATGCTCTCATTAAGGAGGCCAGACTTGGTGGAGGTGGTTGACAGAGGTGAAGCTGCAGGCTATTGAAGGTTGCTTTGCCTCCTGCTGTGCTCTTTGCTTCAGCATGAGCTAGGAGGCAGGTCCCCCCCCCCCGAAATTTTCAACCCCCCCCCCCTCCGCCGAAATTGTCAACCCTCCCCAAATTTTTTTTCTGGCTACGGCCCTGCCCAGATCTCTCCCAGAGAAAGAGATGGAGAAGGGGACCTTGGCATCTCTCCGGTTTGGGCAGCGATGATCGGCCAAAACGAAGCTACGCCCCACAGAGTTGGACCCTTGCTCGCTGCCTAATAGATAGATGTTGTTGTTGTTCATTCGTTCAGTCGTCTCCGATTCTTCGTGACCTCATTATTATTATTATTATTATTATTAGATAGTTAAGGAAGCGGTCTGCAAACACTTAGAAACAAATGCAGTCATCGCTAATAGTCAACATGGATTTATCAAAAACAAGTCATGCCAGACTAATCTGATCTCTTTTTTCGATAGAGTTACAAGCTGGGTAGATGCGGGGAATGCCATGGATGTAGCGTACCTGGATTTCAGTAAGGAGTTTGACAAGGTCCCCCATGACCTTCTGGCAAGGAAACTAGTCCAATGTGGGCTAGGCAAAACTACGGTGAGGTGGATCTGTAATTGGTTAAATGGACGAACCCAGAGGGTGCTCACTAATGCTTCCTCTTCATCCTGGAAAGAAGTGACAAGTGGAGTGCCGCAGGGTTCCGTCCTGGGCCCGGTCCTGTTCAACATCTTTATTAATGACTTAGATGAAGGGCTAGAAGGCATGATCATCAAGTTTGCAGACGACACCAAATTGGGAGGGATAGCCAATACTCCAGAGGACAGGAGCAGAATTCAAAACGATCTTGACAGATTAGAGAGATGGGCCAAAATTAACAAAATGAAGTTCAACAGTGACAAATGCAAGATACTCCACTTTGGCAGGAAAAAATGAAATGCAAAGATACAGAATGGGGGACATGCCTGGCTCGAGAGCAGTACGTGTGAAAAAGATCTTGGAGTCCTCGTGGGGAAGAAGAACATGAGCCAACAATGTGATGTGGCGGCAAAAAAAGCCAATGGGATTTTGGCCTGCATCAAGAGGAGCATAGTGTCTAGATCTAGGAAGTAATGCTACCCCTCTATTCTGCTTTGGTTAGACCACACCTGGAATATTGTGTCCAATTCTGGGCACCACAATTGAAGAGAATCATAGAATCCTAGAATGTGTCCAGAGGAGAGGGACTAAAATGATCAAGGGTCTGGAGAACAAGCCCTATGAGGAGCGGCTTAAGGAGCTGGGCATGTTTAGCCTGAAGAAGCGAAGGCTGAGAGGAGATATGATAGCCATGTATAAATATGTGAGAGGAAGCCACAGGGAGGAGGGAGCAAGCTTGTTTTCTGCTTCCTTGGAGACTAGGACGCGGAACAATGGCTTCAAACTACAAGAGAGGAGATTCCATCTGAACATGAGGAAGAACTTCCTGACTGTGAGAGCCGTTCAGCAGTGGAACTCTCTGCCCCGGAGTGTGGTGGAGGCTCCTTCTTTGGAAGCTTTTAAACAGAGGCTGGATGGCCATCTGTCAGGGGTGATTTGAATGCAGTATTCCTGCTTCTTGGCAGGGGGTTGGACTGGATGGCCCATGAGGTCTCTTCCAACTCTTTGATTCTATGATTCTATGATTCTAAGATAGGCGGCAGGCGAAGCGGCTTTGGGGCTGTGTCACCTGCCGCTTCCCTGGGCCCAGCCTGGCCTTCTCCTGCCTTCAGCTTAAAATTTGTTATGTTGGGCAAGTTTGCTCAAGGTGCATCTTTGGTGGGATTCAGTCCGGCCCTCCAGCAGTTTGAGGGACAATGAACTGGCCCTCTGTTTAAAAAGATTGAGGACCCCTGGACTACAAGTCTAAGTTCCTGTTTGGTGCCTGGATCCCCCTTTTTGCTTTTCGGAGGGACCCCCAGGGCCATCCAGTCTGAACTTTTTCTGCCAGGAAGGAAGGCACAATCAAAGCCCTCCAGACAGATCATAGAATCTTAGAAAAAGAAAAAAAAAAGAAAGCATCCTCAGAGGTAGTGAGGTCTGTTGGAACTAGGAAAATGGGTTTATATATCTGTGGAATGACCAGGGTGAGACAAAGGACTCTTGTCTGTTGGAGCTAGGTGTGAATGTTTCAACTGACCACCTTGATTAACATATAATGGCCTGGCGGTGCCATTATATGTTGAGCGGTGATTAGATGTCCTGGTTTGTTTCTTCTCTGTTGTTTTGCTGTTGTGATTTCAGAGTTTTTTTTAATACTGGTAGCCAGATTTTGTTCATTTTCATGGTTTCCTCCTTTCTGTTGAAATTGTCCACATGCTTGTGGATTTCAATGGCTTCTCTGTGTAGTCTGACATCGTGGTTGTTAGAATGGCAGGAGCGGCTCAACCCATTACACAAAGTAAGCATTTGCAGTATAGTTGATTTTGCCCAGGGGCGCTCTTGAGGCACTCTTGGGGGAAAATAGGCCTTGACATATGCGAGTTGTAGTTACTGGGATGTATAGTTCACCTACAATCAAAGAGCATTCTGAACTCCACCAATGATGGAATTGAACCAAATATGGCACACAGAACTCCCATGACGAACAGAAAATATATATCAGTGATTGGTGGGGGGGGGGGGGGGGCAAAATACTGTTTGATTACCGTTGAAAATTACCTAGGACCACCTCTGGAGAGTGGTCCAGCATTTCTGTGTTCTCAAATAATATGCTGTATGCAGGCTGGTTCATCAGGTGCTCTGCTATGGCTGACTTCTAAAATTACAACAGCAAAACAGCAGAGAGGAAACAATCTGGGACATCTAATCACCTCTAAACAAAAGATTGCCCCAGGCACTGCCAGGCCATCAAATGCTAATCAAGGTGGTCAGTTGAAACATTCACACCTAGCTCCAATAGACAAGAGTTCTTGGTCCCACCCTGGTCATTCCACAGATATATAGGAGTCCTCGGTAGCACAGTGGGATTGTTTCCTCTCTGCTGTTTTGCTGTTGTAATTTTAAAGTCAGCCATAGCAGAGCACCTGATGAACCAGCCTGGACACAGCATATTATTTGAGAACACAGAAATGCTGGACCACACCAACAACCACCATGTCAGACTACACAGAGAAGCCATTGAAATCCACAAGCATGTGGACAATTTCAACAGAAAGGAAGAGACCATGAAAATGAACAAAATGTGGCTACCAGTATGAAAAAAAACTCTAAAATTACAACAGCAAAGCAACAGAGGGGAAACAATCAGGCACATCTAATCACCTCTCAACAAAAGATTGCCCCAGATATATAAACCCTTTTTCCTAGTTCCAATAGACCTCACTACATCTGAGGATGCTTGCCATAGATGCAGGCAAAATGTCAGGAGAAAATGCCTCTAGAACATGGCCATATAGCCCAAAAAAACCTACAACAACCCAGTGATTCCGGCCATGAAAGCCTTTGACAATACAAAAAATATTTCAATGAAAAATAATTGAATATTCAAAAGGTTTTTTGAAAATATTTCATATGTATATCGATATAGATAAGAAATATTGTAGAAAAAACCATTTTGAATATTCAATTATTTTTCATTAAAGTATGTAAAATAGGATTTTTAAAATATTTAATACTAAAATATTATATATATTTATTTTATTTAGAGCTTTTATAGCCCGATCTTCTCAACTTCCAAAGAGGGACTCAGGCCAGCTAACAACAGAAAATCCATACACAGTAAACTAATAACATAATAACATCATAATACATTAAAATACAGACCAAATAAATACATAAAGCCAAATCGTCAAGATAAAATCACATTCATCACCATCCAACAGTGTGGTCAGCCATTATTGACTCGCTCATAATTCTGAGAATGCTATGTCCCAGAGCCAGGATTTTACTAGCTTTCTGAAAGTCAGGAGCGAAGGGGCAGATCTAATCTCCAATGGGAGAGAGTTCCACAAGCGAGGGGCCACCACCGAGAAGGCTCTGTCCCTCGGCCCCACCAGACACGATTGCAAAGGTGGTGGGACAGAGAGCAGGGCTCCTCCAGAAGATCTTAACAACCCTGATGGTTCATAGGGAGGAATCCGTTCGGACAGGTAAACTGGGCTGGAGCCGTTTAGGGATTTATAGGTCAACACCAGCACTTTGAATTATGCTCGGAAGCTAATTGGCAGCCAGTGGAGCTGACACAACAGAGTAGTGTGCTCCCTGTACCCCGCTCCTGTTAATAATCTGGCTGCTGCTCATTGGACTAGTTGGAGCTTCCGGGCAGTCTTCAGAGGCAACCCCATGTAGAGAGCGTTGCAGTAGTCTATACGGGATGTAACCAGAGTGTGGACCAACGTGGTCAAGTCAGACTTCCCAAGGTATGGGCGCAGCTGGCACACAAGTTTTAATTGTGCAA